CCGTGCCTGGCTACGCTGAAACACCCTCAGGATTCTTGTCATCCCCTCAGTGTTCCACAAAGTTCTTGGGGGAATTAAATACAAGGTACAAAACGCAACATTGGTCCTGGAGACTTGGAGCTAAATACCGCCCCCCCCTCCCACCCCAGCATCAAAGCTCACCCCACCCTGTATACTACTGGTGAAAAGGAACTCACTACTTTCGAAGGCAGGGTGTTTTTGTTTTTGTTTTTTCTGGGTGCAGTTCGTGAAAAAAATCATACTAGCCCCAAGCATTAGGAACAGGCAGGGTCTCCTTCCCTCCCTACACCATCACTGTGCCCTGTGGAGGAAGGACACATGCAGATGGGCTCCCTTCTACAGAGGGAGCAGGAGCTCACCAGCCTCCACAGTCTCCACTGTCACATACAGCATGTAGAGACCCATGTGGGTCAGCACGGATGCTGAGCCTCGTATGTACAACCATCCTGCCCCAAGGACACCCTCCCTGAGGGAGTCTGGGCCCAAAGATGGCAGACCACTGGTGCTCCAGGGTAACCAACTCCCTTGGAGAAAACTGTTGGGTTGTGGGTTGGAAGGAGTAGGTTCCACATTCTTTTTGCTGGTCTGCAAGGGTAATATCATTGGTTTAAGATGAAGCTTCCAGAACTATGGTGCAAGCTAATGGACTGACCTGGGGTATTGCAGATGGAATGGATGTGAGGCCCCTGTGAGTTGCCTGTCATGTAGTAGGCACCTAAGAAATGTTTGCTGGCACTTTGGTAATCAGTATGGCGGTTTCTCAGAAAATTGGGAATCAATCTACCTCAAGACCCAGCTATACCACTCTTGGGTATACACCCAAGGAATGCTCAATCATACCATAAGGACACATGGTCAACTATGTTCATAGCAGCATTATTTGTAATAGCCAGAACATGGAAACAACCTAGATGCCCCTCAACCGAACAATGGATAAAGGAAATGTGGTACATATACACAATGCAGTACTACTCAGCGGTAAAAAAACAATGACATTATGAAATTTGCAGGCAAATGGATGGAACTAGAAAATATCATCCTGAGTGAGGTAACCCAGACTCAGAAGGACAAACATGGTATGTACTCACTCCTAAGTGTAAGTAAAAGGATAACCAGACTACAACCCACAGCTCCAGAGAAGCTAGCTAACAAAGAGGACCCTAAGAGGGACACATAGATCGTTCCGTGAAGGAGAAATAGATGAGATCTACATGAGCAAACCGGGGGGGGGGGGGGGGGGGGGCGGGCGGGCAATGGAGAGTAAGGGATGGGGGATGAGAACATAAGGGAATGAGAGGTTCAAGGTGGAACAGGGACAGAGTGGGAGACCAAGGGAAGAGATACCATATAAATGGAGAAATCATGGGAATAGGGAGAAACAGGGTGCTAGTGAAGTTTCCAGAAATCCACAAGGATGACCCCACCTTAGACTACTAGCAATAGTTGAGAGGGTGCCTGAACTGGCCTACTGTGGTAATCAGATCAGTGAATCACTGTCATCATAGAGCCTTCATCCAGTAACTGATGGAAGCAGATTCAGAGAGCCACAGCCAAGCACCAGGCCGAGCTCCAAGAGCCCAATCGATGAGAGAGAGAAGGGATTCTATAAGCAAGGGACATTGAGATCATGATGGGGAAACCTACAGAGATGGCCAGGCCAAACTAGTGGAAACTCATGAACTATGAGTTTCATAATAGCTGTGGAGCCCCCACGGGACTGGACTAGGCCCTCTGGATAGGCCAGACAGTTGTTTAGCTTGAACTGGTTAAAGGGCCCCTTGGCAGCGGGATTGGGATCCATCCCTGGTGCATGATCAGGCTTTTTGGAGCTCAGTACCTATGGTGGGACACCTTGCCCAGCCTTGATGCAGGGGGAGGGGCTTGGACCTGCCTCAACTTAATGTACTAGGCTCTGCTGACTCCCCATGGGAGGCCTTGCCTAGGAGGACGTGGGAATGGAGGGTAGGTTGGGGGGCAGGCTAGGGGGGGGCGGGAGGAGGGAAGAGAGGGGTATCTGTGGTTGGTATGTAAAATGAATAGAAAATTTCTTAATAATAAAAAAAGAAAAAATAAATAAAAGAAAATATTAAAAAATACAGAAATGTTTGCTGGGTTTCAACGGCACGAGGCAGGATGGAGAGTCACACACTTCTTCGGAGTCACTAAGGACCTGCCTGCTTACTGTCTGACATCCCAACTGGCTCTCGCTGTAGTAGCCTGGGGCTAGAGAACTGAAAACCAGTGTCCCACCAGGCTAAAGTTGCTGTGTCCTTGCACAGTGATGATGGGGGCCTGCAAAGGACTCAGCAGAAGTGGTAGAAATGACAAGGATGAGAACACAGGAGAGTGACTGGTTTCTAGGTAGCAGGAAGAGGGGGCTCATTCCTGCAGCAGCCAAGGCAAGGTGTCTGGGGTGGGGGTGGGGGTACCAAAAGATACTGCCCCCAAAACAGAATGGTGTCACACACACACATACTGTGCTGTGTTGGGAGGTTACATCAAAAGCTGTTCCTGGCTAGGAACAGTTAGGGACATGGATACATCCCATGTTAGTGTCAGGAGGCTGGTATAAAGACAAGCTGAGGACACAGGGGTCAGCTCTGCAGCCACAACCCTTGGTACTTGCCTCCAGACACTGGGGAAGGGGTCTGTTGTAGGATGGCCGACAGAGCAGAGCAGAGCAGGGCAGGGCAGCCACAGCAGTGTGACTGCTATGGGCCCTTTAAGCAGCCTTGAGACAAGTGGCAACTTTAGTCATAAGACTTGAGATTATTTAGTGTTTGCAAGCTGCAGGAGCGAGTCCCGTACAGAGGGAGAGCACTGGTCCCTTTCTGTGTTCCTCCATTGCACAGACCTCTGTGGCGGCCTCCAGTCCTGAGGCACCTTCCTCAAGCAGTGGCTACCCAAGAATGCCTGGGATGCTTGGGAGGTGGGAACAGGCCCCTAAACCCTGAATGTGCTGTGTGACCTTGGACATGTCCCTGCCTCTCTCTGGTCTCAGACTTTTGGGTATTCTCTCCAGAATAACAATACTCAGGGGCTGGGCTGTGGGCACTGTGGCACTCTCAGGCACCTCTTAGCCTGTCTTTTCTAGTGCCAGGGGGTGGGGGGAAGAAGCTATTTTTCAAATTCAACTCCTGGGCTCTTATGGGCAGGTGGGTTCAGAGGCCTGGCCACCTTGCCATCCATAAGGAGCAGAGCACAATGCTGGGGTAGGGAAGGATGACTAGAAAGCCAAGTTGGTGTCCTCTCTGGAGTTGGTGAGGGGCTACACTGACTGGCCAGTGTGAACACAGACAGGTAGATGCTGGCCATGAAATGGAACAGTGGTTCAGCAGAGTGCACAGCCAGACTCCTGCTTCTGGCCACCAGGTAGGAATCGAGCATGCTCAAAACAACACACACACACACACACACACACACACACACACACACACATGCTTGACCAGGCAGAGCCCACTGCTGTCCTTGGAAGCCTCCTGGAGTGGACAGAGCCAGGGGAGGGGACACCCACTGTCATCTTTCTGCTCAGTTTGCTCCAGTGACAGATCAGCTGTGACAGTTTACAGCTTGGCAATTTAGGGTAGTTACTACCCAGCAGAAACATGGAAGGGGGTTTTCCCTGGGACTCCTGGAGGTGTTGATGGTCCTTGTACATCTCTGCTGACCCGGCCTGCCAAGGCACAGCCTAAGGGCAGCTGCTGTGCTCAGGGTGGGGGTGGAATTTCTCACACCGAGCCTCACCCGAAAGTTCCCGGCCCAAACTGCTGGGTAGGAATAGCGTTTCCTTTACCAGCCCCCAGCATATTTCACACTCTACGGTCTGCCTCTTGTCCCATACAGGACTGGGCCCAAAGGTTTCATATGTCTTGCTCCTAAGCCTTGACCCTTGAACTAATTTCACTGGGGGAAACCTACCAGGAGACCCCCGAGATCAAGATCCAGCAGGAGGGGCTGCCCGAGGCCACACAGCAGGTTAGAGGCAAGGCCAAATTTGGATCTGGTCCCTCTGGCCCGGGCTCCTCAGCCCGAACTAAGCTTTCACCCACTCCCGGGCGCGTCCAGCAAGCTGGAGCAAATTCCTGAGATGCTTCGACCTCCCTCCCTCCCGCAGGCTTGGGACGGAGAAGCGCAGGCGGGATTCCTCCAGGTGGTGGAGGGGGAGGGGAAAGGAGGCACGGGGCACAGGGCGACCCCCGGGCTCAGTCCTCGCACAGCAGGAGGCACCGCATTGGCGCGGCAGGCACCCGCCCCCACCCGGATCGCTGGCACCCTGCTGCGCCGTCCGCAGAGCGCCGAAGCCGCTCGGCAGCGTCCTCCGCGCGTTCCAGGGGCCGCCCCGCATGCAAGGCCGGTGGCGCCGGGTCCCCCGAGCCCACAAGCCCGCAACGCGCGCGCGCGAAACCACCGTGGCTCCATTAGCCCGCCGGGGTCCGTACAGCCCGGCCCGGCGAGTGTGCCCCGCGCCCTGCCCGCCCGCTCGTTCCTACCTCTGGGTGCCCGCAGCCGCCGAGCGCGCGCCGACCAGCCGAGAGCGCGGCCCCTACGCGTCGGGCCGGTGGGGCGCGGGGTCCAGGGACGCACAGAACCGGAGCCTGACCCCGCGCCCCGCCCGACGTGACCTTGGCGGGGGGATCCTCTCTGTGCCTGGCCTCAGTTTCCCCCTTCCGAAGGTGTGCGCGCGCGCCTGTGTATGTGTGTGTGTGTCGGGGGGCGGGGAGGACGGGTGCCGCCCCAGTCAACGACGTCACCCAAGCCCGGGCGAGTGGAGGGCGCTGGAGGCCGCGGGACCGCCGCAGCGGATAGGCCAGGTTGCCCGGCACGCGGAAAACCGGCGCGGAGTCGTCTGCACGGCGGCCCCTTGTCTTTGTCCTACGCACCTCAAGATACCCAAATCAACACCTAGCCAAAAAGCAGCCCGGGGCCGCTCTCCCTGGCCCTCCCAAGGAGAACTGCAGCCCCTGCGGCCAGTGCTCCTCCGCCCGCGCTCGTCCGCAGCTTGCTGAGACCGACCAGAGAGGGCAAGCCACTGGCTCCGCGTCACACAGTGTCGGGACTGCTGAGGTCTACTCGGGCACCACGCCCCTCCGCTTCCCCTCTAGGACCCACGCTGTTCTGTAGGGCGAAGGGAGGGCAGGGGATCTGGGCCTGGAGTCTGCGCTCCTCATCCTGCTAGAGCAATGACCTGGGCACCAAATACATGCTGGGATGGGTCTCAAGTAGCCTGGCAACTGTCTTTGAGAATATGGTAGGACAGTCTGGACCGAGGACCCCAAGTCTGGGGGAAGAAATAGCCTGGATGGCGGAGCTGGGCCTGGAAAGGGTAGGGACAGAGAAGGTGCGTGTGCAGGGCTGTGCCTAAGGAAAAGACGAGGATGGGAAAGCGTTGCGGCCTGTGCAGTGGAGAGCAGAGGCGTGGGGAACACACAGTCCCCGACCCTGAAAACGGGACTGTCCTTCCTAGGCAGAGGTCCCCCGTCCCCCGCCAGGTGGAGCAAGGGCGCCCGTAGCCGGCAATGCATCCAAGCAGCGCCCCCTGGTGACTAAAAGCGGCGAGGCGAGAGGCTGGAAGGACTCAGCTGCCGCGGTCCTGCCTGGAGGTATCTGGGGGAGTGATGTCATGTGTGAGCAGATGGGGCTGGATAGGGCCGCCATTAGGATGTGTGACCTTGGACAAGGCGCTTCCCCTTTCTGGACTTTTATTTTATCCCCTACTTTTTTTATTTATTGAGATAGTCTCACTCTAGCCCAGGCTTGCATGGAACTTTGTAGCCGGGGCTAGTCTTGAACTCATGACAATTCTCTTGCCTCAGTTCTGTGATTAGAGGTGTTAGCTCCCATGCTGACACCCAGCTCTTTCAGAACCCTAAAGTATTAGTATTGATGACAAAGCTAAGGAATAGTCTAATTCCTGGTCTGCTTGGTCCTTGGTCCTCCTCTCCCTGACCCCTGGCAATCATAAACCCAGGCCTGGTGGCCCACTCCTGCAACCCCAGTACTTGGGAGATTATTTTTCAGACCTTTTCCCTCCTGCAAAAATAAACCCATGACACCTTGCTAGTGCCCAGAGCAGGGCAGTAGGATGGGTTCACAAGACAAGGTGTGAGTCTTACCCACCCTACTCTCCATCTCCCCTCCCCCAAACTAGTTATACCCTTGCACAGTGTTAGAGCAATGGATTATTGCTTTAGTATGGTTATACAGGGTCTCACTATGTAGCCTCAGCTAGCCTGTGACTCCCTTGGAAGATCAGGCTAACTTCAAACTCACAGGGATTCTCCTGCCTCTGCCTCTCAAGTGCTGGAATTAAAGGTGTGTCCCACCATGCTCAGCCTACGTTATTAGTTTAAAAACCTGTTTTTAAAAGCAGCACTTCAAAGAGGAAGATCCTTGTGCAGTTTTTATAACTAACATTGCTGGTGTGGAGCTCAGGTCCTGGGATGGTGGGAGGGCAGGTGACAGAAGACAGGCTGACTAGGGCTGTGGCAGCTGTGTGACCCCAGCCAGGTCCCATCACCTCTCTGGGCGGGTCTGCTGCACTGACGTGTGGAAAGTGTACAAAGGGCACTATGCAGATGCCTCATTCCCAAAGGACAAGAAAGCAAATGTTGATGTATTGAACTATATCAAATTAGACTATATAAATGGCATCAGAATACCACAAACAGGGTAAAAAAGACAAATGGCACCCCGAAAACAATGTCTGCTGCACATAGGGCAAGTTAATGAAGAGAAGGAGAGGAAAGCTAATTTCCCTAACATAGAAAGTGCTCCTTCCAATCGATAGGATGACTAACCCATTAGAAAACAGCCCAGACGATGAAAGCCATTCAGGAAAAATATTCACTCCTGCTTGTAATTAAATGCACATTAAAGAAATGCAATCAAAATGCAATCCAATTCACTTGCCTAAAAAAAAAAAACTCTACCTATTTGGGGGGCTGGAAAGATGGCTCCGTAGTTAAGAACACTTGCTGTTCTTACAGAGGCCCCAAGTTTGGTTTCCAGCACTCACATTTCTCCTTTGCTGGTCCTTGTGTCTCAAAAAATCAAGTACAGACAGTCCCCATGCTCTGAGAGTTCAACTTACATTTTCCTTACTTTACAATGGCGAGTGCCATGTATTCAGTGACATGTCAGTGACACACATACTCCAGACTTGAATTCTGATCTTTCCCTGAACTGGTAAGAGGCAGTCTGACCATCTTCCAAGATGCTGGAATAAGGCAGTGAACAGGCATCCCATGGGGGACCAGCCTGCTCTACACAACAGGTAGCTGCTGAGCTGGACAGTCAAGCTGCTACTGTATTGAATGAATTTTCAACCCAGCATTTTCAGTTCATGATTCAGGGTATGCTGAATCCCGTGGTTGTTTGGATCTTGAATATCCCCCAAAGGCCCATGTGAAATGGCTTTGGCTTCCAGGGTGGCAGCACCCAGATGGTAGAACCTCTGCTCTTCTTTCTCATGCTTTGGCTTGTAGTTCCTTCTGCCTCCTGATCCTGCCATGAGGTACTGTGCTCCTATGGGCCTGAAAACAATGGAGCCAAGCAACCATGGATGGAAACCTCCACAACTGTAAGCCAAAACAAGATGTTTGTTACACTATGGGAGGGCTGACGTGCATGCTCATGTTTTTGTGCCTTTGGCGGTAAAGGGGCACAGAATCTCTGCTGACCCCTGCATATGCTACCTCTGACAAGGATGAGCCAGGGACAGGCACAGCAGAACCCTGGAAAGAGCAAGGAGGGTTGGGAACAGGACAGGAGGGGACCGGCTTTCCACTGAAACATTCCACTTACACACACGTGTGTATATCTATGTATGTATATTTCTGTATATGTATGTACACACACCTATGTATACGTATGTATAATCTCACTATACAGTTGTACTGCTGGGTTTGCTGGTTTTTTTTGTTTGTTTTTGTTTTGTTTTTTGTTTTTCAAGACAGGGTTCCTCTGTGTAGCCCTGGTTATCCTGGAACTCTGTAAACCAGTCTGGTCTCGAACTCAGAGATCTGCCTGCCTTTGCCTCTGGACTGCTGGGATTAAAGGTATGTGCCACTATCCCTGACTTGAATGTATTGCTTTTTTTCACAATATGTTTGTAAATAATAAATTTCTGAAGCTGGAAAGATGGCTTAGTGGTTAGGAGCACTTGTTGCTCTTGAAGAGGACCTGGGTTCAATTCCCAGCACCCACCTAGTGGCTCACAACCACCCTTAACTCCAGTCCCAAAGGATCCATGAGCACTGGGTACACACACAGTGCATATACCTACATGTAGGCAAAACACTCATACACATAAATGTAAAAATTAAAAAAGAAAATAGCAATTCTGAGCCTAGACATGGTGTTGGAAGTGTGGTATCCAGGGCCTGCTCTGGCACAGGCTTGGGAGGATGGCCTACATGACCTCAGGATTGAGGGTGCCCTTTCTGAGTCCTACAGTTCCCTCCACCAGTGGACAGGAAGCAGAAGACAAGTGCCCACCTGAAGGGACACTAGCCCACTGGAGCATGGCTCTGGCAGGCCTTGCCCTTCTCTCCCTTTCCCTCTGCCTTGATAAAAACCATTAGATTACATTCCAAAAGCTAGCCACCAAGGTCTATTTCCTTATTTGGCCACTTCTTCTTCCTGAGGCTGACTACCAAGGTCCAGCTATCAAAGTATAGAAGTCCAAAAATCAGAATCCCCCTTTGGCTCACCTAATTAACACGCCCAATTAAAATTAAACACCTTATCCTAGGATGGGGTTTCCCCCCTTTACCATTACGTTTATAAACCACCATTTTACTGTTTCTCTTCTCTATCCAGAGGCAACCCTTTGCCTCTGGAACACGTGCCCCTTCCCCTTTCCCGTGTCCCCCTTCTCTGTTATTACCCCATCCTGGCCCATTCTCACACAGACCTCTCCCTTTTGTCTTCTTAGAAATGACACCTGCAAGGTCATTTGCTGCTGTTTTTCTGCCTGACTCAGAAAGCAGTCACTGTAACTTTTCTTCCCCACGTAATAAAAGATCTCTCTGAGAAAACAGGTATTTGGGTGTGGTTTGTGCCTAATCTGGGGTCCGGGAGGAAGCCCCTGCCGTGTGTGTGTGTGTGTGTGTGTGTGTGTGTGTGTGTGTGTGTGTGTGTGTGTGTGTGTGTCTTTCACCACCTGACACCGCCAGTCCAGAATCTTCTCAGCAGAAGAGCTGAGTGTTGAAATGGCCCCTGGGGAGATGGGAACAGCAGAGTTGAGTGTCAGGGGCCCCAAGTGACTTTGGAGATCCCCCTGACTCCCTCAGGGTCAGTCCTGTCTACCCATGTCCATGTCCTGTCTGGAAATACTTGGTTCATGTTTCCTGCCCGGGGTTACCCTGGCAACAGCTCTGTCATCTGTCTGGGCTGGAGGTCAGTCCTGTGGCATGGGACAGATGACCAAACACTGGATACCATGTGGGTCTGAGATGTCTGGGGCAGAGCCTCGTATTGGGCAACCAAACCTGCTCACCCAGAGAGCCAGCCTGGGTCCTCTCCTGCCCTTCCTCCTCTGTGTGTGAAGGAAGCCAGGGGATGGATATGGGGGAGACCACAAGGCACAAAATAGTATGCCCACAATAGTGCAGGTGCTAGCAGCACAGGAAGTGTGTGCGGCAGGAGCTATCCATCCCCGCCGCCGCTGCTGCGTGTCTGTCCCTACTCTCTCTCTACCTCCCCCTCCCTCCCACCTGTCCATCAGCAGCCAGCATGTCTGCGCCCTCTTCCTGCCAGTTAAAACAAGGCACTCTCCAGCCAGACACGCAGGGCCTGTCCTTTCCATCCTAGGCCTACCCTTCTAGCTCCTCCCACTATATCCAGAGCAATTTTCAAAAATGGATTCAATCCTATCCCTTTCCTGCTCAGAATTCCTCTGTAGCTCCCTATGATCTTGGGGTAAAGAGGTTCCTTGGCCCAGCTCCACCTTCAGCAGTTTCTCAAAAGTCAAGCTAAACTTAATGGCTTTGAGCACACACTGCTGGGCCATGCCACCATGTGTTTGTCCATTCCATTCTTCTGCTTTGCTCCATAAGCAAAAAGTTCTTCAAAGCAAGAAAAAAAAAATTCATAAAAATTTCAAGTCCAATTCACTTAGGTAGCTCAGAGAACAAAAACACAAATGACCTACAAACATACAAAAACACACACAACTTCACCAATAAAGACAGAGATTGGGGCTGGAGAGATGGCTCAGTGGTTAGGAGCACTGGCTGCTCTTCCAGAGGACACGGGTTCAATTCCCAACACCCACATGGCAGCTCACAGCTATCTGTAACTCCAGTTCCACGGGATCTGATACCTTCATGCACATAATAAAGTTAAGCAAATTATTAAAAAAAAAAAAAAAGTCAGCGATTGCACAATGGTGAAATACTGCTAGCTCCTGGCACACGGACAACACTTCCTAAATGCTCACCTGTCTGTTAGCTGAGTCCAAACCCATTAAACCCAGCTCCGAAGACATCATTTCCTCTGCATGCCATTTTCTGGGCTCCTACTGTATCCTGCACTTGCAGGACCGTGCTTAGGACAGGGCAGAAGGTGCACAGGTGACAGCTGCTGACAACAGGAACTAAGGCAGCCACACTGACTAGCTGAGGGTCTGCTCACCACCGGGAAGGAGCTGGGGCTAGGGAAGTCATTGGCACACACGCTGTGGCGGAGCTGAGAGGGCGGCAGTGAAGTCAGGGCAAGGGTACAGAAGCAGAGGGGAGGGTCTACTGGGGAGAGGAGGTGCTTCAGAGGTGGGGAGGGAAGAAGCACCAGGTGCAGGGCCTTCTGTTACTTGGTACTGACTGTATGTCGGGCAGGCATTGTGCCGGGCTCTGCCCACTCTGTCCTCACAGTCCCCCACATACACACATAGAAGGGGACAGTGGCACCTCAGGGGCTTTCCTAACAAGGTTCTTATTATCACTCATTGATGCCTCTATTGGCTTGGGGCATGGTAGGTACATGGCGTGGGATGCTTCCCTTACCTAGTCTGAACCTCTGTCTTCCCAGCCTGCTCTCTACCACGGGATTTACAAATGTGAGAATGTGGTCTGTGGCCTTTCAAGCCCCACTCGAATAATCATCACTTCCACTGTTAGCCCTGCCACACTGGAGGGTCCCATGATAGCCACACTTCAGAACACAGAATACAGGCAACACAACTATGGCTGGGTTCTGGACTAGACCCAGGGCCTCTTGCATGCTAGGCAAGCATTTTGCCCCTGAGATACATCCCCAGCCTTCTAAACACACACACTCTCTCTCTCTCTCTCTCTCTCTCTCTCTCTCTCTCTCTCTCTCTCTCTCTCTCTCTCTCTCTCTCTTTCGTCACCTAGATAACCCCTTAAAATGGGGGAGAGTTTTAACACCATGAAAACAGCATTAAAAAAGGTATGGTCAGGCCTGGAGTGTGGCTCAGTGGTATGGTGCTTGTGTAGTACCCACAAAGCTCTGGTTCCATCCTTAGTTTAAAATAAAAAAAATGCCAAACTGGTAGCTCAAGCCTATAAGCCCAGCCTGGGCTACTGGGTGAGTAAGAGTAAGCCTGAGCACCTGAGTGAGTCCCTGCCTCAAAAATAAAAAGAGGCCCAGTGGCAGTGTGCTTGACACTTCCAGGGCCTGGGTTCAATTCCTAGTACTGTGGAAAAACAACAAACCAACAAATTAAGTACTGTACAGTGAGTAGTGACTGACCTAGGTGCTGAGGTAATTCATTGGCCCTTGCTTCTTCCCCGTGACAGCTGGCTGTCTATATGCAACAGGACACTTTGAACACTGACCTCCTACTGCACAGAACTTTGGCTCAAAACAATCAAAGATCTGAATGGGAGACTGGCAACTCTAAAACTCTTAGATAAATCACAAGACTGAAGTGAGTTAGGCCATGATTTCTTATACAACACTAAAATGCAAAGGATAAAATAAAAATCAATAAATGAGACCTTATCACAATGGGAAACCTTGCATATCAAAAAAGACCATTAGCAAAGTGAAAAGAGCCAGGGATGGTGGCATACACCTTTAATCCCAACACTTAAGTAGAGGAAGTCGTCTCTCTGAGAGTTCCAGGCCTGGTCCACATAGTGAGTTCTAGGACATCCAGGACTATGTAGAGAGATCCTGTCTCAAACCACCCCCCCAAAGTGAGAAGATGGCCCATTCACAGGAGAAAATATCTGTGAGTCTTGTGACCTCAGGAAGTGCTTATGTTTGGAGCATAAAGAAAACTCTGACTCAATGAGATCATACAATAAAAATCAGGATCAGGGTTGGAGAGATATTTTGCCCACAGAGATATATAAAGCCTGTGAATGCAATCAAAGACCCCATCACTGGTCACAGAGGACGTATAAATCAAAGCCACAGAGGACAGCCCTTCACACCAAAGAAGATGCTGGGATTGCTGTGGATGACAGCTAGTGTGGGAAGGGACATAAAGAGCACCTTCGATGGCATAATGTGGTGGGGGTGGGAAGGAGCCTCTGCTTTGAAGAGGAGCTTGACTGTTTCTTCTAATGTGACCCAGGACTACACTCATAGTTAGCAGCTTGAGAAATGGAAGCCTGTGTCCACAGACAAATGTTGGCAAAAACCCACAGCAGTATCATTTGTAAATGCCTGAAGTTGGAATCACTAGTGTCCATCTTCTAGGGACCAGACAAGTCAGAGATGGACAATAGACTGTAACTCAACAACACATGGAAATAAAGTGTAGACATGCTGCAGCCCTTGACTCCATGCCAAGACAGCAAAAGCCACATGTCGCAGGTCTCCATCCATAGCTTCCAAGGCAACTCTACAGAGACAAGAGAGCTGATGGGTGCCAAAGATGCACAGGGGACAAAGGAAGGAGTGGAGTGCCTTAGAATAACGCGGTGGTGGTGCTGCTAATACTACATGGCCAATATGCTAATATTGTGGAGGTATACATTTACAACGGCTGGGTTTTATAGCATACACACTACCCTTTAATGAAGATGGCAGAAAACACACAAAGACTCAATGCAATGAAAGAATTAGATGGATCTGGGAGTGGTGGCAGCAGCTGCGATCAGCACTTAGGAAGTAGAAGCAGGAGGGTCAGGAGCTCAAGGTCATCTTCAGCTACATAGAGAGTCCAAGGCCAACCTGGGCTGCATGAGACCCTGCCTCAGAAATTAAAAGGAAGGCAGGCTAGGAGGGAGGGAGGGAGGGAGGGAGGGAAGAAGGAAGGAAGGGAGGGAGGGAAGGAAAAATTTGATGTTAAGAACCTGATTGGGGCAACTGTCAAAATAAAAACATGGCTTGTATGAACGTCATTTGGACTATTGAATGTCCTGTTCTAGGAAAGAGACTGGATGGAGTATTATTAGAGGTAAATGTCTCACTGCACACTTGCTGTGACCTCACAAACAGAGCCAAGAGGGAAAAAAAAAATCTAAATGTACCAGAACAAAATTTTGTGACATTTTACTAATGGTGACTGGGGTGAAAGGGACATGGGAGAAGCCTACCTTTGTCAAATTATTCTCGAAACTCTGCCTTAAGAGTTTAGGGGATTTAGTTCAGTGATATACAGAACTGCAATAGCATACCCAGGACTGTAGGTTCTGTCCCCAGTGCTGGAAAACTAAAACTAAAAATAACAGGGTAAGAGCTGATGAGATGGTTTATCGAGTGAAAAAGTGCTCACCACCAAGCCTGACAACCTGAGTTCAATCACTCCGCTCCTGGAACCCACATGGTGGGAGGAGAGAACTGACTCCCCACAGCTGTCCTTAGACCTCCACATGTGCACCACGGCATGCATAAGCGCTGTGCTAGCATGTATACACCACACACACACACACACACACACACTAAAAATAAATAAACGAAATGAAAAAGGTTTTAAATTAATTAGTTTAAAATAATATAATTTTAAAAATTAAGTATAATATAGTTCAAAATAATTAGTTCATATTTCTTACAATTCAAAGAATTCAAGAGTGAAAAGTACTGCACAGAGCTTGGCTAAATCTGTACATTGCTGCATGGAGCAGCACTGACCTGGTAGTGAACAAAGGTCCTGGGGGGGGGGGTAGGGGGGTGGTGGTGGGGGTTTCAGCTTATCACTCCACTTGTCTGATAGATCCTAGGAAGACATAACCAGAGGTCAGCATGCTGATACATGTTCTGGGTGCCCACAGCTTGTATTCATTCTTTCACTCAGAATATTTATTGAGTGCCTTCTGTGTGCAGGGAAACTCAGCCATAAACCACACACACACACACACACACACACACACACACACACACACACACACACACACACACACCCTGCCTTTTAGTCAGAGAAGGCTGTGTGGCAGGAAGAGAATGTGGGCACCCCACAACTGTACCCTTGCCCCAGACCCATACCAGCCCAGTATCCTGGATGTAGTGACTTGCGTCTTGACTCATCTCTGTGCCCGCCCCACCCCATTCTCACCCCCCCTGCCCAAGATTATGAGGAAGTCAAATTCTGTAAAATTCTCCCAGCTGTAGAGCGCTGGGGTCACAAGCTCAGTGAGGGCCTTTGGTTTGGTTGTGACTTGTTTCCCAAAGGAGACAAGGTAGACACTTGGTTCCCTCTGCAGGCGGTAGGGACCTCTGAGATTTGACAGTGGGGGTATAGCTCTAGGAAGAAGTTAATGTTTGAATGGGGCTGTGGTTATCGGAAATCAGGTTGTGCTTTGTAATGTGAGGTCCTTGGCCTTACTGCACGCTAGCCAATTCCCTATCTACTTGTCCATCATGTTGTGACCAAACTGAGGTCCTTACCAGACATCGGTCCCATGATGTTGAGATCTTCTACTACTAGAATTCTGAGCTAAATAAACCTCTTTTCTCAGACAAACACCCTTCTTTTCTTTATAAAGTATCTCATTTCAGCTATTCGGTTATAGCCATCAAAAACAAAGGCCCTGTGCAGACAGAGTACATGCACAGGGCAGCCTTCTGGCCAACAAAGCTGAAAACTGCGTCTGTAAGAGCAAATACAGAGGTAGCTAGGCCACCAGTTAAGGGCTGAGGGATGAAGAGTGATGTCATGTGGCGGGGCAGGGTGGGGGAGTGGAGGGAGATGACACCTCACCTCCCTCCCTGCACAAAGCACAGTGCCCAACCAGACCCAGCTCTGGCCTCCTGAGGACCCCACAGGGCGTCCACCCTATCACAGAGCTGATACTTCTCAGAGATTCCAGATCCTGGAGGCCTGGGGGATTCCCAAGCTGGGAGCCTTCACTTATTTTAAGGGATCTTGCATCCCATATGTACAGCCAACACTGTGGCAGACCAAACAAACACTGCTTTTCACAGGCTGACATCCTTCAAACCCAAACACACCCGTTGCAATGCTGCAGTCTCCCTAAACCGGGTCCTCAGTGAAGCTCCCCTGGGGAGGGGGGTGCGTCTCACAGTTTCTTATGAAAAGCAGCCAAAGCAGCCAAATTCCTTTCCTGGAAAAGCCTGGCAGGCAGATGGAGGCCCACTTGCTCCACTGCAGGGCAGGAAAGGATCAAAGGGAAGGTTTGCTGCGGTGGGTGAGGCAAGCCATCCAGGATGGGTGGGAGGCTGCAGCTGAGGCTCTGGAACCCTGGGGAGTTTGGGGATCTGCTACCCAACTTACTCCCAGCAGACCTAGAGCCCCTTCAGTCATCACCAAGCCCAGGTGGTCATTTTGGAAACTAAGTGGCCAGCACGGGGCGTGGGTGGTGGTGGAGGCATGCAGAACAGGGGCCAGGGTTGACATTCAGTGCCAAGCCCTCCCTTCTCCCTCTACTTCTTAGCATGTGGCCACCAAGCTCTCAGCATGTGACTTAGAAACTGAGGTTTTAATTTTATCTCATTCAAATATCAACCTACGATGGCAACTGTCTAATGGCTTGAGTCGTTGAGCTGAAGGAACTTGAAGAGTGAAGAGGCTCTGGAGGTGAGTGGCTGTTAGGTGCTGTGCAATCCCAGTGGGGGTCTGGGCCCCTCCTCCCAGCAGGAGCTGCAGTACTTGGCACGGACACACCTCGCCAGGTGCACCACCATGCCGTGTGGAGCAGCACACAGGATGGATGTGCTAAGACTCAGGTGACTCTAAGTGTAATGCCATCGGAGTGACATCTAGTTTTACGAACTTTGCCTAACCCATGTGACACAAGGGTCCAGCCACATCCTACTGAAAGGCATTCCATGACTGCAAACTGTGGCCACAGTCTCCCTCCTGGCACGCATGGTAGGTCTGTCCATGATGGGAGCTGGCCTCTCCTGCAATCCACAGGTGGGGCCAAGTGCTAGAATGTGGTAGAAGTTCTAGCAGTGACAGATCCACGGGCTGGGCCTGGGTGCTTGCAGCACATACCTTTCTGCAAGCTGCCCTATGGCTGTAAATTCAGAAGGCAGGGACTGGCATGCCTTTAGGAGATCACATGGAGGGGAAGAGGACAGCTTCCATGTGAAGAGATTTGCCACTGAGAGGCCGTATGGAAGCTGACAAGGGAAAAGGTCTGGGATGTCTTAGACTTTGTTGCCAGAAGATAAAAGAGAACAATTTTGAGTAAAACAAAACTACTACTACTATTACCCCCCAAACCACAAAGTGCTCCATGCTCTTAAGCCTGTATTGAAACCCTGGGCACAAAGCCCAGGTGGGAGGCCAGGTACATCTTAGTAAGTAGTAGAGCATTTATTAAGCATGCACATGACTCCAGTACCACAAAAAGTACCCCCCAAAAAACAAGGGGGTAGAGGAGGAGGATCATCAGAGTGCTACCTTACTTCACCCTCCCTCACCCAGAAGCAAAGGATCCCTTTATGGACTGTTTTCCAGCCCCAGGGAGTCCTGCTCTCTGCCTGTTGTCTCTCCCCTGCCCGACCTATCCTAGCCACTGTGGGTTCCAGTGCCTTTCACCCTACATTCCTAAGCAAGACTCAGCTTTGGTCTGGTGGATGGTTTCCATCTGCCTCCCTGACCTGCTGCTGATGTTCTAGGAACTTGCCTCAGGACCTGGGCCTTTCATTTTCTGGTGAATATCAGTAATGGCTCCATAAGCCCTTGGAGATCCTTCTTTCATCTCAAGAGTTGTGGTGCAATACAGGGACTCAAGGAGTTGGGCTGGAAGATACTATCCACTGACAGACATGAGAGTAGGGCTGCCTCCTGCCTTCTAACCAACCTGTCTGGCCTTCCTGCGAGACCAGCAGAAACTGGCAGATCCCCTAACCCACAGATCCCACATCACAGACCACTGCTTTTTCAAGCCATAGCACCACATAGCTTGTTTACACAGCAACAGCTAGCACTTGAGAATTCACCACTGACTTCCTGTGGCACCCAGGCCAGGGCACCTGTTTGTAGAACTGAGACACTGAAGCATTTCCTGTGCTTAGGGAGAAGGGCCAAGAGCAGTCTCTGTAATCCCCAAGGAACTCACAGCTTTTCAAACAGACCATAGATCCACACAGCCAGAGGGAACTGGGGAAGATGCTGGGGTTGTGCTCTGAGCTCATCTCCAGCGGACACGCAGATGAGTTTCTGGTGGGCAGCAGCCTCAGGGGCCAGCTTCTCCTGGAGCCTCCCAAGTAAATGACACAGCTGCCCCTGTCCTAATGGGAATCTTTGTCCCCCTCATAGATAAAGAAACAACCAAGAGGCAGGAGACCCTGTCCACAGTCATCATTACAAGGATTTGTTCTCCTCTGGATCTGGCCTTTTGGTCTCCCCTGAAAGGGTAGACACTACTCCAGTTCACAGATGTACACACAAGAGGCCAGAAGAAGTGAGGGATAGTGTGTCATCTTACCCTGGTTTCTGACACACTGAGCTCATATGGGACACTGGCCACTGGGAAGAAGGCTGGGAAGTTGTTAGCAAAGGGGCATCATCCAGGCAGACCAGATAGGAACTAGCTCTAGACCAGGTAGGGACCAACTCTCAGAAGCTGCCCCAGACCATTGTGATGTTGAAGATGAGGGAGGATTGAAGCCACCAACTGCTGCCTTGAGGGAAGAGGGTGGGAATAGTGGGTATGGCTTTCAAGAGGATAGAAAATACTAAAGTCTCTTCCTAAGTCAGGGTTTGGTACACACATCCTCAATCCCAAGGAAAGATAATTTCTGAGTTCCAATTTTGATGCTGCTACTTTCCAGAATTTAGAAAAGAATTCTGGCAACACAACTGGCTGCCTCAGTTTCCCCAGCTGCAAGATAAGTTCAAAGCCAGTATTGGCATTGTGGGCCTGTAGTCCAGCTACTCGAGACATTAAAGAATTACAAGTTCAATACCAGACTGGGCGACAGAAAGAGTTCAAAACCAGTTTGAATAAGTCTCAAAAAGTGGACAGATAGCTGAAGGTGGCACTCAGTGGTGGAACATTTGCCTTCTACAATACATTAGGACCTAAATTCAATCCCTACTCCTGAAAAGAACAAACAGCAATAAAAATATAAGATTCATACCCTGCTTGCAGAATTTGCTATGAGAAATCAATGAGGCTTTTTTTTTTTTTTTTTTTGCCTCAAACCCAAATTAGTTCTCCTGCTTCAACTTCCAAAGTGCTTGGTGAGCCATCAATGTCCAGAACTCCAGTGAAGTTGTGGCTGAACTAGTCCTTATACAGATCAGAGCTTGATGCACAGTCAACAATCTCACGATACAAGCAGGGTGTGGGGAATGGTGGTGCTTGCCAGCTCTATCCCTTCTGGCTATGGACAAGGCCGAGGGAGGAGGATGGCTTGAGCCCAGAAAAGAAGGGGAGAGGAAAAGGGAAAAGACAGGAAGAGAAGAGAAAACAGCCAGGCC